AGTTCACCAGGAGCTATACCAAATACAGCCCTGCAAATGGTATGAGCTTTTCCCAAGGATCCATATTGTCCTTGGACTTGGCTGTTGTATTATACTTTAAATGGAATTGATTGTGTGGTTGTAATGAAAGTAACAGATTGATTTCTATCCAGTGTTACAAAGAGTAAATAGAAAAATGTTCCTGTCTTGACCTGCATTCATAACCAATGGGATTTGCTGGCTTTAGACCCAATCCTTAATAAGAGATAAGATGCAAATGTAATAAAACCGGCTTCTAAGTTTAAGGATCTTTTCAATGCTCATCAAAGATGTTTCTTGTTGCATTTAGATGTGTTTGTATTGATTAGATCACAATCACATAGGAAATGTTACTTTCTTTAAACGCTATTCATAACTTATCATGTAATTAGCATTCATATGTGGCTTTATAAACATATTAAGATTATTGAAGTGGGGGTTATGACACAGTGGTATACATTTTAATTGTCCTTAAAACTGAATTGCCTTTTTTAGTTATTTAAGTAAATGATGATTGTTTAAGTTCGGATCTATTTGACTATTTTTGGTTAACAAACAGTTTTGGCTGTGGAGTAAATTTTTAAAGGTGTAACATTAGTATAAGGTAGTAGTATTTCTTCTGAAGGACTGTTTCTGTTGCATATTCATTCAGAATTATCCTTGTGTTATTTATTAAGATATGAAATACTTGTTTCCAATAGTGAACTGTTAGCTTTTTTCCTCCATTGTGATCATGTAGAAGATAATCATGCATGAGTACTATAATTAGATTTTCTTTTACTCTAGTATTCAGGATTTTATGAGCATTTTCCCCTATTCACCCTTCAGTAAATAAAACTCAGGCCGACAAAACAAGGAATCTAAATATGAAATACAGTTGGTAACTTACTTTGCTATAAATGAAGGAACGCAAAAAAAAAAAAAATCTAACAATTCATTTGTAAGCAACAGTTTCTTCACACATTATGTGACTTTTTTGGGATTTGTTTTATGTTTTGGGTAAAACAGTTTAGTATAATGATGCCTAGATGAGACAAAACAAAACATAACAAAATTTAAAAAAAACAAGAACTAACACATTTGACTGCCTATGTTTCTCAGTTGTAGCTTCCAAGAGCGCTCTGTTCTTCCAGCCGACTTGATACCCTGCAGGTTCTGGTAGACAATTCACAGGAAAGGCTTAGACATCGAGCTTGCATGCTTCTTGACTCCATTTTAAACCTTTTGTTCACACCAGGGTGGCATTTTTTCACACCGCATGTGGCAGTTTTGACTCCTATCCAACTTGTCTTATAAAATCAAAGTCTGTGATTTTTTACATTCACAGGGCTGCTTCCCGAACTGCTACTGCTGTTTGTGTCTTTCCTAGTGATTGGTGCAGAAGTTTATAGCAAAATGTGTTTTAGGGAGGGGGAGGAAGATGAAAGCGATATGAAAAACGTTCTGCCCTGAAACACAGGAAATACATTTTAAATAAGACGGATTGACTCTGTAAAGACCGTACATGAAAATCCAATATACTTACCCCTATTTTTGTTATTTTTTTGTGACACTGTGCTGAATACACAGCTTAATTTAAAAAAATATATAACGATATCACTTTCAAGTTGAATGATGTTATTTAAAAAAAAAAAAAAGCCTGTCATGTAATTGCAAAAGAAAATCTCATCCTCAGACTAATATAATTATTTTCCTATAAAAATGTATAATATTCAGGTAGTGCAAATGAATTTTGCTTTTAGATATGATCATGCAACATACCCCATTTTATTTTCAGTTCAACCATGCATAAAATAAAACCTATTAGTTGAAAAATTTCTACTGTGGACATTTAAATAATTTCTGTATCAACTTCTTCATTCTTAAAGTTTTCTTCTTTCCCCTATGTTTAATTAAAAATATCACTTTAATCCTCATTAATTTCATTCATATGTTGTAATAATAAATCACACAGGTTATTTCAAATAAGTGATATAAAGCAATAATTATGAAACAAGAACAGAAGTGGAAAATTTTACCAAATGCAAAAGGTCTGTGCATTGGCATGTTTCTACAGAGTAAATATGAGCAATGATATAAAAACTACAAATGGAAAATCTCTGTAGATGATCTGGCAATAATAAATGTATACATATTTTTATACTTTCACTTTGAAATTCTTATATTGTTTAAAGATTATCTCTTATTTGTATTAACAAAAACATGTAAAAGAACATTTTAAAGTATTCCCTACTAAGTGATTTATTTCAGCATTTTTTTTAGGGGGTATAGGGAAAGATTTCTATTTCAATCAACAGATAATAATTATATGATTTCTTATATTTTCTGAAGTTTTAGAATAGTTGATTTGTTGTTTTTAGATTACTGGGTTTTTTTGAACAGTAACCATTCAATCACAGCATAAAGAGAAATGAAAACTCGGTTAATAGAAGCAAATGTTTAATGTAGTAATAAGTATTTGTTAACAGTGTTAACAAATTTAAGATGAAAGAATCTGATTGCATATTTTATAAAATTTTTAGCTACAAAGCCAACTTAAATAAGCAAAATCATTTTAGTTAATGTTAAGTCTTATATTCGATATATAGAAAAGAACCATATTATTGTGCTTTAAATATATATATGAAAGAAAAAGTGTAGATTATGATTTTTTATGCCTTCTTCCACAAAATACCTACATAAATTCATTGTATCTGAATTATTCATTACAATATTTGAAATATGAAATGAATCCATTATATTGAGAAAGACCTCAATTTAGAATTTGGATTTTTTTCACTTTCTGGAATAACAAACCATGATTGACAAGAACATAGCAGAAAAATAGCACTTTGTTGTAAGTTCTGTAACAGTAGATGTACTAGCAGACAGAGAACAACCGCTCGCTTACTTTTCCTTTTGCAAATACAACACTACTTCAACTACAACTCCTATGAAGTATTTGAAAATAAAGCAAGAGACATTTTTTCTCAGGAATAACAAAATCAAAATGGTTAATGTAAACAAAACTCCATTTAAAACAAATGAAATGCAATAGATTTTATAGTCTGGAATTTTCTTATGATGTATAGATGTTTATCAAGTACAATTTTTTGCCCATCTTTGAGTTAATTTAAAATCTGACTTCATTAGAAAGAGAAAGAAAAAATTATTTATATGTGAATACAAAAATTCCATAAAGATCAAATAAAAGCCCTGTCATGTAAAACAAAACAAACAATTGAAAGCAAGTAAAATATCCAAATAAACACATACCTACCTAATTGAAGGTTAGTATTAAGCCCTCATATAAAACTAAACAGCATCTGGAAATCTAGCAAACCATTTGAGATTAAGAATATGAAAGACAAAAAAAAAAATCATTATCTAAAGAAATGTAAGTTAAGTTTATGAAATAAAATTTACCTACTTTTGCAGCTCATATGTTTGTTGAAAAAAAGTATGACTTTATTTCATGTGCATGCCAAAGAATGTAGAAATATATATAACCCATCATTTTTCATTCTCTAGTATAGAAAACCCCAACTTTTATTGCTTTAAGTTTCTTATTTCCTACCCTCCCCACCTACTCCCTCTGCTTCTTCAGACTGTCTTCTGTCCAGCATCTCTTCTATTTGAGGTGAGCCAAGTAAGACCCCCAAACAGACACACAAAATAACCACCACCCAGCTGAAGAGAAACAGGTCTTCTGCCTTTGGCCTGTCCTTATATGTTAATAAAATCAGCTCCTGCATTCTGCCACCAAATTCAGCTTGGAAGTAATCCTCTTCTTAAGGCTGGATAAAAAGAGTACTCATTGTGAATTATGTTTCATCTGTCACAATAACCTTCTTTATTCTGTCATGGACCTCCCCTTTGCCTGTGGCAATTAGAGAAAATAGGTGTGCCTTGAAGTATGAGATAGTGGTTTTTTTAAAACAAAACAAAACAAAACTGATGACACACAGACAATGCTTGCTAAGCAGGATACTGAAGATCAGCTTATGAGGCATTTTGAAGTGGCTCTGAATTTTTTTTAAGTAAAAGAATACATTTTAAGAATGAGCAGGTGGTATAGTTGCCATTGGTTATTGTTAACATCAGTTACTGAGGACAAGCAGTGAATTGTATTAAAAATGAAATGTAAACAATGTATTTTCATATTGCATACTTTCTAATTAAATCATGTCATAAGATACATATCATAAATATATGGTATTTGTTTAACATACCAAATGACAGTAGTAAATTTATATGCCTTAAAGTATATTTCAATACTCCCGACTAACATTTTTACAAATTTTTAAAAGGGGAAAAACAAAGAAAATTTTTCCCATTCACAGAGTTTATCAAACATTTTGTTTAACTTAAAATCAATGTGATTATTTGATTTACTTACTCTTACAAATCACTGAAATTACCTTGAGGCAGTTCAAGTTCACCTTTCTGGAATTAAATCTGTTAAATGATAGACATCATCTAATCATCATCTTGAAAAGATATCTCAACTTTTTGGCTTAACAGGGTACATTGATACCACATGTAGTCACGAATAAGTTAAGCTAGAAGAGCTCAAAAAGCTACAAAAGAAAAAGAAAAAAAAACAAACCATAGTTGGCAGAAAAGAAAGTACTCCTTCTAATAGCAAAAGAAAGTCACTGCTGATGAATTAACTCAAATAGTCATCATAACAGTTGGATAAGATAACAGCATATAAATAATTTAAGCTAACAGGAAATTCATAAAGTCTGAAGAAAAAATTCTTGAGACTAAAGGAAAACCCTTTGGCCCACAGCACAGGTTGGGCACAAAAGTGCTTGCTAAGCTATCTATTTCACACATGCAACGACAGAAGGTTCGATATTCATTCGATCGATGAGTGAAAAGGCACAATGGCAAAATCAGACAGACTTCTTTTCAAATACAGATCTCCAATGTCCTCTACAGTCTACAGATGCACGGCTGGTGGCGTGGCTCAGACGGAGCAAGGGTTACATCAAGGCTGTTCTCTGGACCGTGCAAACAGTCTAGACCAATGACCTGCAGCATCATGCCCTTTGAAGAAGAGGCAAGTTCGGTCACGATGAAGAAAAATCAAGGCGTACCCCTTTTAACAATAGGGAGCAGCTCGAGGCTGCAAAGAGGTAAGCAGGGGTAAGAAGAAACCGGCATCTGCTTCCATGGTTACAGGCCAACTATGAGAACCTTGCTTTTCAAGGGAGTCTGTTCTCAGGCTCCCTCACGGGGTATGCCATGCATTATAAGCAAAGGCAGGTTGAGCCGAAACCCACATAGTTATTTCAGAGTAAAATGATACGGAGCACATAGTGGCAGAAAAAAAAGTCACATGACTGTTAAGAACCTGACTTGGGCTATTTCAGAATAGAATTCTTTCCCCCCTCTATGCCAGTTTAAATAAAGACAGTGAATTTGTGTAAAACAAACAGCGATGAGAAACATGATTTTCATTTCTCAGGCTCTTGTGTGAGAAGAGGTCAAGGGTCAAGAAAATACCCACCTCCCCATGGCAGGACCACGTACAGTACAGTCCTGTTTCTATAGCTTTATTATGGATATCATTTAGAAATAGTTCCCATTTTTTTTTTTGCTGGACTATGACATTGAATATATGTTCTTGTGAATCTCTCTCTCTGACCTGATTCTCTTTGATTTCCTGCCCTGGATTTTCCCATGTTTATGTTTATTTCTGTGTTTAGATCTCATGAGGAAGGGTAGGAGATTTGGTGAGAAACTTCTTTGGTGTCGTGTTACTGTTCTAAGCAAGTGTGGGGTTTCCTCTGTCTTTTGTAATAGTCAAAATTCAAATCTATGTCAAAACCAGTGGCCTCCAACAATAGTTCTGTTTCTAATTCATGCATTTATATTTTATTTGTTGCTTGGCTACTTCAATGAATCTGTAGACTCAAATAAAAAAGTTTTTTTTTTTTCCCTTTCTGTGAGATATTTAGTTGTTAAGTTGGCTCTTGTAATGTGACATACTAGCAGCTGATGCTACTTGAATAAAAATTTGAACAAATTTAAAAGGTAGCATATTCTGTATTATTGAGGATAGTTCTACTATAATAACCACACAAAATGCAGATACGTGAATAATTAACATAGATAAGACATCCCCCTAACAATGTACCGTAACTAAATATTGGAAGAACTCACATTTGTTACCTTCCAGTGACGTACAGTTAACTATAGATCTTTGCAATCTATCCTTTGAGAAATTTTTGTTTGCAAATTGTTAAAATTAGAGGATGAAAGAGGAAGGAATGCTCTAAAGGGCAAGGCATAAAACAACTTTCATTAAATTTATTATTCAGAAGCTTTGTATAGTACTATAAATGAGCACTGTATGGTCTGGTGGTATGGAGATACTCATTTTAAATACTTACCTTGAAGGGAAATTATCTTGTAGCTTTACAAAGACAATTAAGTGTTGGTGGCCATGAATAGCCACAATTTTATACTCTTAATTAAGAAATCAGAGGATAATTTTCTGGCGTGTTCCTCCATACTGATGCCGTGTTTTGAGCTAGGTTCATGGCTAAACATATGCATGCGGTTTTATTTCTTTCGATGTGTTGAGATACATTAATTTCTATGCTTGGATGGTGAGAAAAGCGCATGGGGTAAAAAAATGAACTACTGTGGTATCACTATTTTACTATAGTAATTCACACACTGTTATAAGTAATGAACAGATTATCTAAAAGGATGTTATAGTTGTTTTTTTTTTTAATAATTTACTCACTGCTAAGATAATTCAACATCAGAGTTTCTTTGATATACCAACAGATCATACTGGCTGGCAAAGGTCAAGTGCCAGTTATTTCTTCAGTGGAAAAATCTACCTGTCAATTCTCCAAAGGAAAGCAAAACAAAAGCAAATGCACTAAGGTTTACATATTGCATGATAACTCAAATTGTAGTTAAAAAAAATGAGACTTTGCATGAAATCTGTTGCAAAATAGCTGGGTTTTTTTTCAGTTAACATTTAGCCATTAATCTTGCTCTTTTGTTTTTCAAAACATACTCAGTTTTATGAATATTTATGTGTGAACATAAATTACTCTAACTTGCTAAATGTGGATATATGTAAACACTTGGAGACATTGTCATGGAATCAGATTGATAGTTATTAAAACACTATTATTTTAACACATTAATATGCAGATAGGACACTTCATACTGAGTATTTAGGGGAGAAATGACAGCTTCTTTTCTTAAAAAAGATTCTCTATATCTGAAGTACTCAATAGCTCAGTAATATGTCCATACTACATGGAGTTTGCAACAAAAACTCTGCTCATTTATCAAGATGTGTTGGACTTAAATATTCCTTAGAATTAAATTTTAGAACAATTAGTGTATTTTGCCTTTCTTACTGCAAAATCAAAAAAAGAAAAACTAAATTTGCCTTACCTAATGGAGCATTTAAAATAAAAAGACTGAAATTTTCCAGTGCTTTAGTGTCTCATAGTGCTTTGAATATAGTAGATGCTCAATAAAATGTCTAACAAATGAATAAACCTGCAATTGCACTAATGAAACAATTATCTAAACATAATCTGGTCTCATAAAAGACAGGACAGAATCTCCTCTACTTACTCATGGATCTTTTTTTTACCTTTTTGTTTTGATCTTTCTACACAAATAAGTACCTTTTATCAGTAAACTGTGATTCCTGAATGCCTGCTATGTGTCCAATGAGACTAGAAGTGAATAACCAGAGCCACAGTTCCCAAATGAGATTCTAAAAAACACTATTATTCTAAAAGATGTTACTTTGGTGTTCTGGGACCAAAAACAAAACAAAACAAAAACAAAAACAAAAGCCCTGGAGTCAAATATGTATGAGAGAGATGCTATATTAAACAATGTTAAATGGATTGTTCATATGCAATACTTTCTGGGGCAATCAAAAATTAATGTATATAGTGTATCCCTAAGAGGGGCATATTTTCCAAAGTTACTTAATTTTTTCATGAATACTTATTAACTTATATGGATGTATGCATTTAATCAACTTCCCCATAAAATATTTATTAATTTAATACGGCCTAATTTCAATGATGTGCTGAAGCTAGCTTAGCTAAAACCATCTTGGATGAGCTCATTGTAATGATTCCTTTCTAAATTCCATCTTAAAGAGATATCCTTCTCTTGGCTTGAAATTGGATATAGCAGAAGTATTTGCACCATAGAAATCGGCCAATACTGCAAATTAGGGCCTTTTTAATCTTTTTTTTAGAAGCTGTTGTTAAACATCCACCAGCACACTATTGCCTAATTTCCTCTCTGAATCCGTCTTTGTAGGTAAATTATAACCAGTAACAGGTCAATAAGTTTAGAAGTTTTCTATTCATCAACCTGTTTAAAATACAAAACTATTTAAATTAATTATGTAGATTAGACACAAAAGAGAGGGAGAGCCGTGGAAAATATTAGACATTGTAAATTTTCCTTAAATATTTAGCTTTTATATCAGGAATTCAGATAATTTATCTTTCTGACTTTTCTAATTTACCTGAATAAATATCTCTGTTTATTCCTTTATCTCTTTTCTAACAAAGTATTTATATACACTGGTATATAATTGTCAGTTAATTTTTTTTTTTTTTTTTT